AATAACATTTACAGCCCAAGTTTACTTACTGGTGAATGTTCCTTTGTAAAACACTCAACATTTAAAATCAGAAATGACAGTGTTCTCAAGCTTTTTTACAAGCTGCATCCGTCTGAAAACAAACAAAGCCCTCAGCATCCTACTAGGGTGTATTTAAACTGTCTCTTCTCCCAAGATCAATTCAGAGGGTTGGTGGTTTCCCCCCCCCCCTTACAAGTCTGTGTTGTGGACAACATGCATCTGTTTTAGTCAGTGCAGATTTACAGCCATTCATAAATTTCCCTGAGATCCAAATTGAGGAACAAACAGAATCACAAGCAACCAAGAAAATCACAGGGGCTGGAGAAATGTGTTGAGATGGAAAGTGATGGGATTATGTGGGAACTTTGCATTAGACTACAAAATAAGTTCAACACTTATAATGAATATTCAACACCAACAAACTCTTTTCATGAGCTATTCAAGTTGAGCAGCTCAATTGAATTGTTTTGGCTGCAAGCTTCTTTATAATTTCATAAATTTACATAATTATTTAATATTGTCCTGGACAATAAGGGACTATGTTCACTCGTATTGCGTCTTCTAGGCGCTATGGGAAAACTCCTTTTCTCGAGAATATTGAAGCCTTTATTTTAAAACGCAGTGCAGGTGCACAGCCAGCACAATGCAGAGCTGTATAGCGTGCTGATTGGCTGGGCTGCGGGAACTTACGACAAACCTATGGCGAAGTGGCGAGGAAGCACAAACCTATCAGGGCGCTTCTCTCCTGCTCGAAGCCTTCTCGCCGTCGACGAGCCAAGCAGCGGAACGCAGCGATATGCAGCAGCAGTTCAGTGGATGGCGGGCTCCTGATCAGCATTCCTGACTCGATGGCATCATCTGCTGATTCGCCGTTTCCCTGCGGCCATCCGGCGAATAGTATCCTTTATAAGAGCAGTTTCTATAGGAAGTTTCTCTAAAAGAGCACACGGTGTTGTAGCAAATGCCACGCTCGGACTGTGTGACATGCAGAGTCATGACACCTCTACATGCCTCAGACGAGCATAGTGAGTGCTTTTCATGCCACGCTGAAGCTGCACTCACTCAGGGAGGCTGTTCTCACTGCGAGAACATGCCGCTCTCCTCTCTGCGCTCGTGGCTAGCTTTCTTTCCCCTCGCGGCCTCCTGTTTCCCGCCCTCCTTTAACTGCGGAGGAAGAAACGGCGGGGTCAGAAGATGAATGAGCGTTCAGAGATGAGTGAGCCCATGGCGGCCCTGCCCCCACGTGCCTCATTCTCTCCAGAGAGAGTCATTTCTCTGGTGCTATTCACCAAAACGTACCAGCGCCCTTCCCTTGAAGTGGCCGGCCTCGTTTCCTTTGGTGGATCGGAGGAGGATAACGATGACAGCCTGTCATTGGCAGCGTCCGAAGGCGAGGATTGGTTGGGCTCAACCATTGACCCCACCCTCCGGTCTCAGTCCAGCAGAAGTGGCGCCAGGGCGAGCACAGATGCCAAGCTTATCCACGTTCTTGCCAGGGCCACCGAGGAGCTCGGCCTCGATTGGTCTTCACCAGACGAGCCAACTAGAAGCCGCCTTGACAAGTGGTTTCTGCCGGGGTGCCAAAAGGCCCCTCACCAGCGGCCGGCGCCGTTCTTCCCTGAAGTTCATGGCGAACTGACTAAGTCATGGCGCGCCTCCTACTTGGCCCGCCTACGCTCTCAACCCTTAACGGCGGAAAAGGGGTATGAAAAACTGCCCCCCCCCCCTAAAGGAAGCGGTGACCGCACATCTCTGCCCGCCCACCGCCATCGGATGGAGGTCTAAAGTGATGCATCTATCTAAGCCATACAGGACCACTTCAGCTCTCGCCGGCCGAGCCTACACTTCCGCTGGTCAAGCTGCCTCAGCCCTGCACACTATGGTGGTCCTCCAAGTGTTCCAGGCAAAACTCCTCTACTCATTGGACAGGTCTGGACCGGATCCCACGGCCTTCAAGGATATGCGCAGCACCACTGACCTGGCCCTGCGCGCCACGAAGAACAGGCCATTGGAAGAAGAATGGCCAGCCTGGAAGTACTAGAGCGCCACCTGTGGCTCAATCTCACGGAGATAAGACTACCTTCCTGGACTCCCCTATATCTACCACTGGTCTCTTCGGTCCCTCAGTAAAGGGCTTTGCTGACCGTTTCACTGAAGCACAGAAGTCTTCGCAGGCCATGCAACACTTCTTGCCCAAATGCTCCAGTTCGGCTTCAGGTTGCCCGAAGAACGCCCCGACCCCACAGCAAGCTTAACCAGCGCCACCGGTTTCTCAGCCCCGCCCAGCGGCTGAAACCAATCGACGTCCACAGCCAGCTAAGCGCTTCCCGTTCCCGCAACGCCAAGGCCCCCGGCCTAATGTTATGCTGGACCCTAAGCCTCGGAAGCCTTCCTAGTCCAAGGACAGGAAGGAAGAGAAAGGGGTTAAGTCTCGCTGTGGCCGGACCACCCCCAAAAAGAGCTCATGTGCTCCCCCCAGCTCCCTCTTTAGTTCAGGCAGCTGGAAATGTTCCAATTGCAACCTACGGGCCCGTTTCAGTTCACGCACCCTTGAAAAAAAAAAAACAAAAAAAAACGCTCTTTCAACAGCGACAAAAATTTAAGCACAAAAAAATTCAGAAAAATAGCTCTTTTTCTTTTCAAAACACCTGGGTCCCGACGACCCGCCCCTAAATTTCATTCAGCCCCTAGTCACTCGGGCCAAGGCCTGGGAAGCCATCCCCGATGTGTCAAAATGAATTCAGGATGCTAACAACCAAACAAATCCTCGTGCAGATTCTCCCAGGAGACTTTTTTTGTCAGTGGACCTGAAAGATACTTACTTTCACATCCAGGTTGCCCATGAAGACTTAAAACTTTACTGTTAAATATTATTTTTTAGTTTTTTTTTCTTTATTCATTTTCATAATAATTTTATAATGTATTTTGTGAAGTCAGACTATGTTTGTACATGTGTGCTGAGCAGACAGCTGGTAGAGTTATATTTTGCTTAGAGGTATGCAATGTTCACTTAGCAGAGATGTTCCAATGATGATTATGCATTAAATGTGTACATGTTAAAGGAATGTTTAAATTGATGCAAATGTACCATTTGTATACCACTAATGTATACACTGAGAAATAGTTGGATAGTGGATTGTACCATGTGGATTAGGTATACATTTAATCTTTAAACATAAGCAACTTGTTTTTCTACCTTACAAGGAAGTTGTAAGTCTCTCTGTGATGTATATAAGCTCAATCTTACACCGTCCAGGGCCCCCGACCGTCCTTCGGATTAGACGTTAAACCGAGGTCCTGACTCTCTGTGGTCACAAAAAATCCCAGCATGTCTTTTGAAAGAGTAGGGGTGTAACCCCGGCATCCTGGCCAAATTTGCCCAGTGGCCTCTGTCCATCATGGCCTCCTAATCATCCCCATATACTAATTGGCTTCATCACCCTGTCTCCTCTCCACCAATAAGCTGGTGTGTGGTGGGCGTTCTGGCGCAATATGGCTGCCGTCGCATCATCCAGGTGGATGCTGCACATTGGTGGTGGTTGAGGAGATTCCCCCCTTCTATGTAAAGCGCTTTGAGTGCCGAGAAAAGCGCTATATAAATGTAATGAATTATAAAATTACTGTACAACCTCAGAGAAACATAAAGGCATGATCGGGTGAGAGGAAGGAGAAACATAGAGATGATGGGGTGAAAAGATAGAGATATGTGGAACAGAGAAATCTGGAATGAAAACCCCCTCTCATATAGCCTTATTATTAAATGCCTTAATTAATACATCTCTTGGCAAAAGTAACTGGTGTAGCTTCCGTGATTCAACAATAATAGGGGGAAGCAGGATTTTCAAATCTACAACAATCAAATCTCAGCCATCTAGAATGCCTTGGGCTCAGGATAAACTTATCCAAGAGTGTACTGTCCCCCAGCCAGCGTATAACCTTCCTGGGAACAGTTATTGACTCAGTTCAGATGAGAGCTTGGCTCATGCTAGACCGCGCTCTCTCCATTCAACAGCTAGCTGCTTCGTTCAAAGCGGGCTCTTACCTGCCCCTCAGAACGTTTCCAAGTGCACTGGGCCTTATGGTCGCCGCATCCTCAGTACTACAATTAGACCTACTGCATATGCGTCCCCTTCAATGGGTTGAAGCTGAAGCCCTGAATCCCGGCTCATACGTGGCGGTTCGGCCACCGACCGTTTTCAGGCCCAAACCCTCTTAATCAGGGCATAATATTAGGAATTATGTGTGGTTTGAGGTCTGATCGACCAAAGGAAGTACAAATGAATTATTTTGGAGGTATATATGTTTCAACAGGGCTTACATCAACATTTCAGTAACTGCAAAATTGAGTTTTCCTCTAAAAATACGCTGGCGAACAAAAATCGTGTTTGACTGACTATGGCAAAAGTTCATATCCGTTATTGGATCGGCATCGGAACACAAGTACTATCATTATCAGTTTATTAAATTTACACATTACAAATATATCACTTGTTTTATTCTTTAATACAAATCGACGCTATATCAGGAAGCCAATAATTCTCACATTGCATAGAATAAACATTTAGCACCTTGGACAGCGGTCAAACGTGGTAACAATGGTTTTGGAAATTCAAATAAAGAAAGGGATTTCAAACTTTTCCCAGTCTTACTCTGAGGATTCCTCACGAGATAAAAGTTTCGCCAATATGTCGTGTGACAGAGCAGATACAGAACAGCTGAGCTGCAGATGTTTTTGTCCTTGTGACCTGGATGTGGCGTCCAGTAAACCTCAGTAGAGCAGACAGGCTCAGACGTCAGCTGAGAAGGAGGTACTAACATCAACACAGTACAGTTCCAACCGCATATGAGGATTGTAATCATCACCACACGGTGGAGCAAAGGGACGCCAAACTTTATTCCCACTTCTGAACCGATGAACCGAGCAACAAAGTTCAGCAATTGCAAAAAAGAAAGAAAAGAAAAAGCGTCGTGATCTCTTCTAACACTTAAACTCTTCTGCAAATAATTATCCTCTCTCTATGGATTGCATTCTGTTGTCAAAACGCAAGAGCACTATAAATGTTGCGCTTTCCCCCAGAAAACAGGGCAGTGACTTTTTGTTCAATGTGCTCCCAGAACGGATTGCGATGATTGTGTCCAACTTAAGTGTGATCAGCTGCAGGAGGGCGAACAACGCGCTGTGCCTCAGTGCAGTGGAGGGACATTTGGAGGCGTCCTCCCCCTACAGCACTCTCAGTCCCACCGGCCACCTGCTCGTGGCGATGAGCTTGGGCTTCATCGGCACTTTCGGATTCCTCAACAACCTCCTGGTTCTCGTGCTCTTCTGCCGCTACAAGGTGCTGCGGTCCCCCATAAACTTTCTGCTGGTGAATATTTGCTTGAGTGATCTCCTGGTGTGCGTGTTGGGCACGCCGTTCAGCTTCGCGGCGAGCACTCAAGGGCGATGGCTCATCGGCGACAGTGGATGTGTATGGTACGGCTTTGCCAACTCGTTGTTAGGTGAGTGTTTTTGTGTAATCTATCTACAAGTAGTCTATTGTATCATAACATTCTGTTATGGTTTTACATGCATGGAAGTTTGATTTATCTGGATTTGATTTCATCTGGTATAAATCATTAAAATGATAAAACCTGTTAATCATAAACCCAAAGTGTCCAGCTTTTTTTCTCCATTTGAACGTTTAGTTTTATGAATAGGGATAACACAACTTATATGACATCTTCGTGTTGCTTACATCTAAGTTCTTAGAAATGTTATCTTTGTAATCATGTTTCGTACTGTACATTTTCGCACTACATTTTTTACTATTCAAAAACATGTATAGTCTACCATTTTCTACAAATATCTTGATTTAATGCTTTTAAAATGCAAATGGTGTAAGCATAGCCTAAATTAAAAATAATTACTTTCTTTGTACTTGGAATACACGTGAATGTGCACAACTTAATCGCTATTTCAAGGCTATACAGCCTTATCAGACAGCCCAGTTAAGCTTGTTAAAACTTGCCTTTCATACAAATGTCACTATATGCTGTTTTTTTTCCCTTTGGTTTTCATCGCGTGACAACCAAATTAATTTCTGCATGTTGGCTAGATTACCCTGACTCTTAATTTGTGAATATATTTCAATATTTTAAATCAAAACTGTGTTACAGTTTTTTTTTTAAACATAATTAAAGAGTATGCCAGATCCTATAAACATTACATTATCCAAGTTGAGTTTCCAATGTTTTATGGGGACATTCAATAGACATAATGATTTTTTTATACTGTACAAACTGTATTATTTGGCTGAAGAAGACCCAACAGGGTCGAAACTTTGCCTTTATATTAAATATGGGATTTTAAAGCAGTGTTGCGGATATTACATTTTTTTTCACTAAAGTGAGAAGGATCCATTGAATAAAGAGTCTCAGAAGAGAGAAAGAGAGATGCCAATTGAAAGACCGAGCTCAGCATGTAAAGAGTCCAAGAGCAGAGACCAGGGAAAGGACAGCATGAGCACTTTGGGTTTAATCACTATCAGCACCTCTGTGAGCTTTGGAATGCAAAATGATATTTTTTGGTGGTCAGAAAGTGATATTCTTTTAATATTTAAATGGTAATGTATTTAATACATTTAAGTGAATTAAATGTATTTCGTAATAGAGAAATACATTTCTTTGTTAATTTTCAAAACTGCAGAATGTCTTGGAAATGATTGTCTCTTCTAATCCCGGCAGTCATCACTGTGTTCTCAGGACTCAGATGGCTATGAAGATAATAACATTGATGTTGATATTGATACAGATATTGTCATCTGTCGTTCAGTCGGGAACACCAAACTCAGTGAGACTGCAGCAATAATAGTAGTGTCATCATGCAGTCACTGCAATTGTGCAGGGAGGTAATATAGGAAATAGCTTATGATAGATATTATTGCTAAACACCAGATACACTACAGTAAGTAAAGCATTAAAATGTTGGAGGTACATCCTTTGCTTCGCATCCTCTGGGATGTATAAATCATATGTGTTCTTTTTTTACCATGTTACCATGAACCTCAGGACTACACTTTACCTTGTTTTACAGTATCTGGTGTCTAGTCAACTCAAATCACACATTTATTTATATAGTGCTTTGTGCAATACAGATAGCCTATAAGCATCTTCACAGAAATAAACAAGAAAATAACAGTATTAATGTTCTTCAGTTATGAAATGAATACATCTGTAAGCACTATGTCATTATTCAGCTCAATTTAATTCAGTGTTGATTCAGTTTAGTTTAGAGTAGTTTAGTTTAGAGTAGTTAGCAAACTCTGTTCAACTATAAAGCAGATAATAGTGTGATTATTCAGCTCAAGTCAGTCAGTGTTAATTCAGTTTAGGTCAATAATAGTGCATCAAATTATGAAACAAGCGTACAGTAATTCAATTATAATCAGCTCTACAGAAGTTTAATAGTGTCATTATTCAGCACAAGTCAGTTCAGTGTTGATTAAATTCAGTTCAATAACAGTGTCGATGTTGCAGAGTTAATCAATTATGAAACAAATTCAAAATTGCCATCCAGCTATTTTCACATCAAGTTTTGTTCTCATCCAATAGTGTCAGTGCAGTAACATTTACAGTATTGCTGAATATTAAATGTCTTTTAAACCCCAACTGAGCAAGCTAAAGTCAAGGAAACAATACTCCATTAGGTGTATTGTATAAGTAATGGAGAAAAAAAAAAAAAAACTTGGGAGACACCAGGTTCAGTCAGTGGGCCAGTTCTCCTCTGGCCAAATGAAAGAACACAGTGTGATTCTGCATCACAAGTCAACTATAATGTGCACTGAAATGATTAAAAAATGTTCTTCTGCTTGAGGATCGGGATATGCCATGGCAGAATTAGGTCAAAAATGAAAAAGTCTAAAGAAGAATCACCATTGTTATATTTTCCAATAAGTCTCTTTTGAGCAGAGAATGTTTTTTGGCATCAGAAAGCTGCCAGTGAATGCAACAGACCAAGACAAATCACATTTGATTGCTTTGTTTGTGGGAAAATCATCTCTTGGCAGCTTAACATAGCCATAATATTAGATTTTGAATCCACTTCTCTCTATTGCTTGAGATCGTATGTAATTTTTTTCAGATGCATACTTAATCAGATTCATCTCCTCTGAGATGTTATGTGGACAATTTATCATTAAAATAAGCTAAAAAAGAGGCCTCATGTCTCATAAAATGTTTGTGACTGTTGGTTTTATTTGGATTCAATTCTGTCAGGAACACTATTGTCAAAGATGTTTGACAAAGTAGTATACAGTTTGAATTGTCGGTGTGGTTTTGTACTGGGCAAGAACTCCGTGCCCATCCAGGAAGCCTAGCATGGATAAGAGCAGGGAGTGCAGCGATAACCCCCTCAGGGTAAACAGAACAGAACCAACATAAATGTATCACAGATATCATTAATGTTCTTAATGGCAATAATTGAAAGTAATAACAACATAAATAAATATAAATGACAGTCTGATTTGAAGAGTAATATCAGACGGCCAAGTCCTGACTGGACGAGAGGAGGAGCTGGGGATGGAGGAGGGTAATTGGCTCCTGAGCAACACGATAAAGCTGCTGATAATACTGAATGGACCTTATAGGGATGCTGTGATGATCTGTTATGATTGGAATTAAGGGTTATTTGACAACATTAATAAACAGTATTTTCTAATTAAACCACTAAACATTTAAAACTAGAATTTCATATCTGTCAATTTCTGTGACATAAATGTGAAGGTGAGTTTATATATGTATATTATAAAAAAATAAAATAAAATGTTCCAGTTCAATTTATTCTTCCATAATTTTGTGACTATGACAATTTCCACTATTCGCTCCTTTCTTCCTTTTATTTCTGCTCCAAGAAACTGGCAGTATCCAATAATTTGGATTTGGAGTGGCATGCACTTTTCTTCTAGTGACGATTCTTCTAAAGGCACACTTCCACTTTGTGATTGCTGAAATCTCACTATATTATTGGTCCAGATAGCTTTGTTTTTCTGTAAGGTAGTATCACTTGTCTTGTGCGACATGAATCATGATATATTGCTACTGAAACAAATATCAAATAGTATTAAATTGAGTTGTTTGCTCATAAAGCTCCTTCTCTCTGTCCCTCTCTCCAATATATATGTACAGTATACAAAGATTTGGATTGCTCTAGAAAAACAGAAAAGTCTAGAAAGTTCTAAATGGTTCTAGAAAGTGCTAAGGAAGTGCTACTTATAAGCAGTAACGTTTGTTATATGGTTTTTCCAATTTTTTCTCTCGGGTGACCTTTTAAAATTTTCATTGCTTTTAATCAAAAGTTAATTTATTTATGATACAGGAAACCTTTAACAAGAAATTCATACAAGTTTGGAAAGGCTAAGTAAACTATGACAAAATTATTATTATTTTTTTTTGGGTGAACTCTTATTTTAAGGTGTCACATAACCATAGTAGTCAGACCAATGCATCTTGAGACATAAAGACCAAGTTGTTTTCCCTATAGATTCTCAGAGATGGACTATTTGGTTCTTATGGCATGGTCTAGTGGTTTAGTTAATGGATCAGCAATCGGGCTGTAGAAGGATTAGATTTCGGGTGAGCTCCACGGCGGTCATGACCTTGAATTTATGTATTATGCCCTCCCTATCACACCATCACACAGTGAGGTGAGCTCAATATCTACAGCAGGTCTTCACCCTCCCTAACACTCACATTAAGTGATAGTGGTATTGTGAGGGACTTAAATAAAAATAATAATAATTAAAAATAATTCAATAATTAAAGGAAAAATAATGAACACACCTTTGAGATTTAATTGTTTTACAGAGTCTCTGGTCTGCATTTATTGACCTGGAAATCAAAGTGTTTCACTTTAACAGTTGCACTATTTACCTTGATTACTTTATTAATTGTAGTGTCTTTAAAAAATGAAATACATACGTGACTGTGCATTGCTCCAAATCAGATTAAACTAACTCTAACTACCTTTACCTGACCAACGTAATCAGGTTTACCCAATTACATTAGTTTAATTTGTATAAATAATTAAATTTGTCATCATTTAATAGACCTCATGTCGCTCCAAACCCATAAGACTTTCATTCTTCTCAGACCACAAACAAATTATATTTCTAATATATTTTTAATCTCTCTTCATTTTGTCCCATCCTGTTAAACTTATTCAGATGCATTTGTTCTTAGTTTCATTTTCAGGGACTTTGTTTGTTTCCATTAGTCACATGTGTTCCCTTGTTTGAGTTTCCCACCACTCATCAGTTCCTATGGACACTAGTCATCATCACAGCTGTTCGTCATTTGTTATTGCCATGTGTATTTAAGTTCCTCACCTCCACTAAGTGTTTGTCTGGTCTCATTTGCATTAGTGTATGTATTACCTGTAGGACTGTTATTAAATGCTCCATTTGAACTTTATTCCTGATCACCATCTGTCTGTCTGCACCTGGCTAACACATCCATTGAAAGTCCACTCAAACAACATTTTCAAGCTTCAAAAAAATGTGTCTGTAAAAGCAGTTTAATCCGAGTCTTCTGAAGAGACATGATTGCTTTATATTATAAACAGGGTTAATGTAGACTTTTATACACATAAAGACTGATCAAGTCAACATACATAGATCTCAACAAATAAGTTTAGCAGAAGCTCAAACATCTCGTGAACAATAGCTTGAAGCTTTAAATGATAATATGATTTCAGAACAAAACACATAAACGTCTTAGACACGGTTGCTCCACTCAAGGCACAAAGTTTTAAACCAAGAACTGAACCCTGGCGAGATGATACAATACGCTCTCTTAGGCAGATTTGTAGAAGAGCGGAGCGTAAATGGAAAAGAGACAAACTTCAGGTCTCTTTTAAAATGTTAAGAGATTCGCAATATCAGAAATCGCTAAAAGTAGCCAAATCAAGGTATTTTACTGAAATTATTAATAAGAACTTTCATAGACCCAAAACTCTTTTACAAATTATTAACGCCACTATCAACCCTTCGGTCTGCTCTCTCGCTGATGTGTCTTCATCTATGTGTGAGGACTTTTTAAAGTTTTTTTGTTAGTAAGATAAATGATCTAAGATTAGGAATTATTCAATCTCCTTCTGATCCCTCAATTCACCATAGCTGTACGGCTGTTTTTAGTCGATTTAACCATATTGCTGGCACTCAGCTTCAAGAAATAGTAGAGCACTTTAAGCCTTCAGGCTCTTCTGCTGATGTTATTCCTCCTTTTTTTCTCAAACAAGTATTTGATGTACGTTCTCTTCTTCTGGTCATGTTAAATCGTTGTTTAGAAACTGGTATTATACATGAACCGCTAAAACATGCATCAGTCTACCCCTTGCTTAAGAAAACAGAAACTGGACCCCACAGTGTTAGCCAATTTTTGACCAATCACCAATTTTTAATTTATGACTAAAATTTTTAAAAATAGTCCTGCAACAACTACAAAGCTTCCTAACAGATAATGCGATTTTTGAAACTCTTCAATATGGGTTTAGAAAACATCATTCGACAGAGACTACTGTACATTGCTGAAGGTTTTTAATGATGTACTAATAACCTGTGATTCTGGCGACTATGTGGTTCCTGTGCTTTTAGATTTAACTGCTGCATTTGACACAATAGATCACTCTATACTTATTACTCGATTGGAACAGTGCACAGGCATTACTGGCAGTGCATTGGACTGGTTTATATCTTATTTTACTAACATAAGCTTCTCAGTGAAGATTGGAGAATATACCTCTAGTAAGGCTGTGTTATTGTTACGTAGAGGTGGTTGAAGCAAGGAGGAAGCAGAATCCAAATGCAGCTTACTTTATTTAAACAAACTCAAAACTATACAAAGACTAGGGAACAGGACTCGGGAACAGCACAACCAACATCAATGTAACAACGACAAGAACTCACAAGGACTGAACTAAAACACAGGGTTTACATACAAGGGCAAACAAGCTAAACAAGATAACAAGGGGGCGTAGCTAATCTGAAACACCTGGGGAGACTAATAAACGTAAAGACTGGGGAACACAGACTGACATCACAACAGTTATCGTGTGGGGTTCCTCAAGGGTCTATTTTGGCCCCCATTCTTTTTTCTTTATACATGCTTCCACTAGGTTCTATTATTAGAAAACACGGGTTGTCATTCCATTTTTACGCGGATGACACTCAAATTTATCGGCCCTGAAAACGCTTGTCAAATAGTCTGGAAACTGGCCTGTTTGATCGAAGTAAAGACCTGGTTGTCTTCAAACTTTCAGAATTTGGATGTAGTATTTGATGAATCTTTGAAATTTGAGAGGCAAATAAATTTAGTAGTGAAATCCTGCTTTTTTCAGCTAAGACTACTATCAAAAGTAAAGACTTTTCTTTCCTTTAAAAACTTTCAAAAAGTAATACATGCATTTATTTCTTCAAGGCTGGATTACTGCAACTCTCTTTACGTTGGGATTAGTCATTCAGCAATGTCACGATTACAATTAGTACAAAATGCGGCAGCTAGACTTCTGACGGGTGCAAAAAACGGAATCATATCACGCCAATTTTACATTCTTTACACTGGTTGCCAGTGCGTTATAGACTGGAGTTTAAACTTTTACTTTTCATGTACAAATCTTTAAATAGTCTGGGTCCACCCTACTTGTCTGCTCTATTGACTGAGCATCATCCAACTAGATCACTTCGGTCATCAAATCAGAGACTCCTGTCTATCCCCAAGTCAAAATTGAAGTGTAGGGGGGACCATGCCTTTTCTGTAGTTGCCCTATTATGGAATGACTTGCCCATTTCAATTAGAGTGGCCTCTTCATTATTTGTTTTTAAATCCAAGTTAAAAACATTTTTGTTTGATAAGGCATTGAACACATGCTGAAGGACCATTCCATTGTATCTCATCATTAGTTTAAATTGGTGAAGCACTTATTGTATGGTATTTTACTTATATATTATTTATTACTTATATAACAGTATATTTGTACTGTTGTTGTTTTGTTGTTAGTTTTTATGATTTTTTATTGTAAAGCACATTGGATAACGTAAATTGTATTTAATTGTGCTATATAAATAAATTGCCATCAATTGCCATTACGTTCACTTTCATATTCATTAATCTGGCTAATGGGGGAAAATGGTCAAAATTTGTGCAGATAATCCCAAGACTTTTGTAAGGCCAGTTACAGACGTCATGGTTAAAATTACAACACTACTTCAGTCCACTTCACTGATAATAGAAAATCAGTAAGAGGTAAAGTTGAATCTCAGAGACTTGAATTGATTCCCTTGACAAGTAAATGCTTGGGCTCTGTGGTGCTCTCAAAACACCAGTGGAAGACAGAAAACAGGGAGAAACTTTTTAACTTTTTAAGTTTGGTAAAACTTTTTAAATGTCATACAGTTTTGTAATTCATAAAGTGGCACAAAAATTACACACTTCAGCTTTAAGTACTGGATTGTGGATTGCTTTCACCTAAATTGTACAACAAACTATAAAGAACCAAAGCCTTACTTATCAGGCAACTCAACTGAATTCTGCCAAAATACTTTTTGAGCTGCGGTTTATCAGTCAGTGCCGGTCTTGAATTAATAGTAAGACATGAGTTCTGCTCTTCTGAATGTCTTATATGCCTGCTGAATGCTGCAGTCTGTTGGTAATGGAATGTCACATTCGACTATTTAAACCTAAATCAAATTATAACATTATTGAAATATCTTTATATTTTTTTCTCCAGGCATTGTGTCGCTTATCTCCCTGGCAGTGCTATCATATGAACGCTACTGCACAATGATGGGCTCCACAGAAGCTGATGCCACCAACTACAGGAAGGTGGCCTGTGGGGTGGTGATGTCCTGGGTTTACTCTTTAATCTGGACTCTGCCCCCTCTATTTGGTTGGAGCCGCTATGGCCCAGAAGGCCCTGGAACCACCTGCTCTGTAGACTGGACAACCAAGACCGCCAATAACATTTCTTACATCATCTGCCTCTTCATTTTTTGCCTGATTATCCCCTTCCTGGTCATTATTTTCTGCTATGGTAAGCTGCTGCATGCCATTAAACAGGTGAGTGAGACTGTCCACTGTCATTGGTTTTTTTAAATCAGTTTTTCTGCTAAACCTTTATGCATTTGTCCTTAGCATTTCAGTATTTGATTAAGGTTAGGTTGTTTGTCATTTAACAGCTGCTTATAGTCCACCTGGGGTTATGTTCCTTGTGGAAGGGCACAATGCTGGTAGGGGATCTCAATAACTTTCCAGTTGTGGATGCTAGCCAGGATCCCTAAAGGAAAAGTTCACCCCAAAATCTTCTTGTTCAACATCTCTTTTTGCATCAATCAAGCTATGAAAAACACAACACCATAAAAGCACCATACAAGTGGTCCATATGACATATCACAGTGGTTGAATTGCTTTGCTTTGGATAGTTTTTTGCATCAGTACTCAACAATGTCTCCAAAATAGATTAAATAAATGGTGCAAATGGCTTTAGTTGTTGCATGTCTTGTAACCAGTTTCGTAAAAGTGGACCAGTTTGAAATGATGCAGCAGATGGGGAGATTAAATACCTTTCTGTTCTTCATTGAAAGTTTTTTCATGGTTTCAGTTTACTTGGAATATTGTTGCCCACTAAAGCTACTTTCTGCCATATATATACAGGTCCTTCTCAAATAATTAGCATATTGTGATAAAGTTAATTATTTTCCATAATGTAATGATAAAAATGTAACTTTTATATATTTTAGATTCATTGCACACCAACTTAAATATTTCAGGTCTTTTATTGTTTTAATACTGATGATTTTGGCATACAGCTCATGAAAACCCAAAATTCCTGTCTCAAAAAATTTGCATATCATGAAAAGGGTCTCTAAACAAGCTATTAACCTAATCATCTAAATCAACTAATTAACTCTAAACACCTGCAAAAGATTCCTGAGGCTTTTAAAAACTCCCAGCCTGTTTCATTACTCAAAACCGCAAACATGGGTAAGACTGCCGACCTGACTGCTGTCCAGAAGGCCATCATTGACACCCTCAAGCAAGAGGGTAAGACAGAAAGAAATTTCTGAACAAATAGGCTGTTCCCAGAGTGCTGTATCAAGGCACCTCAGTGGGAAGTCTGTGGGAAGGAAAAAGTGTGGCAAAAAACACTGCACAACAAGAAGAGGTGACCGGACCCTGGGGAAGATTGTGGAGAAGGACCGATTCCAGACCTTGGGGGACCTGCGGAAGCAGTGGACTGAGTCTGGAGTAGAAACATCCAGAGCCGGAAGGAAATGGGCTACATGGGCATCCAGAGATGCAGGAAATGGGCTACAGGTGCCGCATTCCCCAGGTCAAGCCACTTTTGAACCAGAAACAGCGGCAGAAGCGCCTGACCTGGGCTACAGAGAAGCAGCACTGGACTGTTGCTCAGTTTTGCATGTCATTCGGAAATCAAGGTGCCAGAGTCTGGAGGAAGACTGGGGAGAAGGAAATGCCAAAATGCCTGAAGTCCAGTGTCAAGTACCCACAGTCAGTGATGGTCTGGGGTGCCATGTCAGCTGCTGGTGTTGGTCCACTGTGTTTTATCAAGGGCAGGGTCAATGCAGCTAGCTATCAGGAGATTTTGGAGCACCTCATGCTTCCATCTGCTGGAAAAGCTTTATGGAGATGAAGATTTCATTTTTCAGCACGACCTGGCACCTGCTCACAGTGCCAAAACCACTGGTAAATGGTTTACTGACCATGGTATTACTGTGCTCAATTGGCCTGCCAACTCTCCTGACCTGAACCCCATAGAGAATCTGTGGGATATTGTGAAGAGAAAGTTGAGAAACGCAAGACCCAACACTCTGGATGAGCTTAAGGCCGCTATCGAAGCATCCTGGGCCTCCATAACACCTCAGCAGTGCCACAGGCTGATTGCCTCCATGCCACGCCGCATTGAAGCAGTCATTTCTGCAAAAGGATTCCCGACCAAGTATTGACTATTGAGTGCATAACTGAACATAATTATTTGAAGGTTGACTTTTTTATTTATTTATTAAAAACACTTATTTTATTGGTCGGATGAAATATGCTAATTTTTTGAGACAGGAATTTTGGGTTTTCATGAGCTGTATGCCAAAATCATCAGTATTAAAACAATAAAAGACAATGAAACAATGAAATATTTCAGTTGGTGTGCAATGAATCTAAAATATATGAAAGTTTAATTTGTATCATTACATTATGGAAAATAATGAACTTTATCACAATATGCAAATTTTTTGAGAAGGACCTGTATATATATATATATATATATATATATATATATATAAACACACACACACACACATATGTGTATATATATATATATAATAAATATATATATATAATATTAAGCATATATGTATAATCTCATTTGGTTGCATTTATTTATGATTTCACTGGAATGAAAAGCACTCTGAAGAGAGGTGAGAAATTATATGCAAATTGTGTGCGTACCGATCACTGGCCCACAGAGGGAAGGATAATAATGTGACAGATGGATTTTAACTGCTGGTAAAAGTAGTGAAACAACTTATTATAAATTAATGCAGTCGCCTTTTTCAGCAAAAATGAAGCGTGGATTTAGAGTGCATTAAGGGAACTGAGCATTTTCCAGACCTGAGACAGTCTTGCGCATTTACTTCCTGATGCTTGCATGCGCTCTCAAGTGGCCAAGACCCCAAGTGTGGGTATTAAGACAGGACCTATTAGAAGCTTCCAGACAGGTGTGTTGTAGAAGGTTGAAGTTGAACTCTACAGGAAGCTTGTCTTCCAACAGCAGGAATGGATCCTGATTTAGATGGTCATAAAACAAATGTCACAATGAAATCATCCAAATGGAAATCCCAGATCAAAATGCTTCACTTTACAATAAACAAGTAGTTATCAACTCCGGTCCTTGGGACTCACCACTCTTCATATTTTGTATGTCTTTATTTAACACACCTGATTTGGACCATCAGCTCGTTAGAAATTAGCAGAGTGGTGGAATTAGCAGAGTTGAGAACCTCAGTTTACAGACTTTTTTTACTTAACCTGTACTGTTTTTCAACAACATTACAACCATCACCCAACAATTTCGACATCTTGAAGATAAGGAGACTGTATGGGAGGGAAGTATGAGGAGATATTTGGAATAAGTTGCCTCCTAGGAAATCATTCATTTTCAATGAGACGGCTGGGTGGAATTTAGAGCAAGATAACTTATGAATCTGAACTTGTGAAATAAGTTGAGTGCGTGTCTAAGAACATTGGGTCAGCCTAACTGTGACAGAATTTTTTTTATCTTTTATGTTCTGGTGTATTTACTTTGAATATAAATTTGTTTTCAAGCCATCCCACAAGTTTACTTATCCAACTGGAAAAGTCGAAGGAAAAGTCACAATATCTTTTTGTTCAATCTCTCTGTCTTTCTCTGGCTCTTTTTCTGCACTCAATAGTTGTCACTTTGTAGAATCTTTTAAGTGGATTGTCCAATTTAGTGAAAGCTTCTGTTGCTACTGTATTAGCATTCACTTGACCATTGCATCATAATCGCTAGTGTCATTCTTTCACAGATGAAGACAGTCTGACTTCACAAAGCGCATGCATGAATAACAGCTCAAGATTCCTGCAGCTACAGGCAAAAATAGCACTCCTTGGATATTTTATCTATTTATTTTGCTAATTTACATACATCTGGACTCTCTAGACAAATACTGCAGTGTCCTCCCTTGTTGCAGGGAGCACACTAATAAATCAAACTAGCTAATGGTGTTGAATTCCCGATTTAATAAAGCGATCTTCTTTTGACTGTATGATGCAGTGAGAGTAAAATCAATTAATCTGCTTTAAATTAGATGACTAGTCCTTTCTCTGGATTTTCACAGATGAATAATTCATTATGGAAGAAGTTGGAAGTGGAAGTCCTGAAGATGTTACGAGCTCAGGACTGCTGTTACCTTTGGGAATAAGATGCTATGAATGACGTATTTCATAGTCACAAAATTAGACTATTTGCCAAACCTAGGGAAAATCTTGTCATTAGTTCTTTGGAGTTTGTTGACCATTATATATAAGTTTGCATGCAACTTGTTTTGCTTGTATGTGCTAGCCGTTTATGTTAAGTTCACAGGAATTGTTGAATGCACTCAGAACGCTGTGTTAGATGTGTGAGAGATATGTGAAAATACATTACGTACTTTGATTAGAGAGGTCAGCTGTCTGCTGTTGATGTTTGTGCTCTGAAACCCAAGTAGAAAAACTGTGTGGGTTCTCTCTTGTTTTCTTTCTCTCGTTCCTTCTTCTTGAGGGGAAATTGTGGCTTCTCTTAAGTTTTATATATCTTATAGCTTTTATATCTTAACAGATGTATGTTTAAGCAGATGGAAGAACTCTCAGCTATGTATTGCTGCTTCTAACAGGCAATTGAAATACAAGCTCTAAATCAGTGATTGTAACAAACGGCTCTGAATATCCAAATGCAGTTTTATTGGGGCAATCCAAAATCATGATTCATGTAACTGGCAGAGGCTTAATATCAAGGCAAATAATGACAGTCCAGGAAACAGGGAAATGGGTTCAAGATCAAGACCATAAACCATGACAAGGGAAACAAGAGTAGGGATGGCTGACACGAAACAGTCGTTCCGAAGCTTTAAGAGATCCCGAAGCGCAGATGTTTCGAAACATTGATCCGAAGCGTGATTCAAAACACCCATGTCACGTGACTATGGCCAAACGAAGCCTCGAAATGTTTCACTAAGTGTTTCATCAGGTGTGATCTGCCCAGAGCCATAGAGAGAAAGATTTGCGACACGCTTTGATGTCGCCGCGACGGCTGTCACGTGGTTCATGTAAGCCCCAATAGTTCCAAAACATACGCGGGCTGTCATTGTGATGCAGAGTCAGAGACAGTCGGATCCATTTGCAGTGGTTTATTCAGGATAGTCAAACAGGCAGAAATTAGAAAACAGCATAGACAATGTAGCAGGCAGTCCAAGAGCATAAACGATACCAGGCAGAGATCAGGGCAGGCGGCAATATCCAAAATCCAAACGAGAACTGGCAAA